ATTACTGTTGATAGAACACCTGGGATCGTAGCCTAGCAACATTGACTCAGCAAACTGAGCTGATGACCCGGGCTCTGATGCCTCACTTCCCTTTGGGCCTCGCCTTCCTCCTTCCTCACCTGAAGTGACTGATCTGGGCAGCACTACTTTCTTTTCTTCCAGGAAAAGTATAAGAATCTGAAAGCTTCTGAAGGCCCCTAAAAGATCTTGCACCCCAACACCACATTTCCAACAGAGCTCGCAGAGGGCCTCGGGGCTACTCCTGCACCATGAGCTCAGATGATTGTGGTCATGCTCCCTTTTTATACAGGCCAAATGCCTCAATTAAGTCTTAATAATGTGCTATTTAATTCTCATAACCTTCAGTAATTTCTCTGTTTATCGACAAAGTGTATCAAGCTTGTAGGAGTGGCTTCTATGCCTTCTTCATTAAGGTGTTAAGGGAAATGTGATTTTAACAAAGCGGATTTTGTGGTGGTTTCCTTGGATTCGCTTAGTTCTGTTTTTCAATTGATGGATTGTTTCTGGTTTATGAGAATCTCTATGAGATAAATGTAATGAGAAGAAGGAGTGTAGACTGTCATTGTAGGCTATTTCTCTTCCTCAGTCTTTTTAGAACAAACCTCAGCCCTGCTCTGAAATTCACCAGGTTGGTGAAGAATGAAGAGGTCAAATGAGACCCACGAATGATTTGGCAATAATTATGTTATTATATATGGTAATGATGCATAGTATTATTACTTACAAAAACTAACATATAGCCATAAGGTAGGGCTCCTGGTTGAGAGGTGACAGTGGAGCTGTATTCGAGTGATGGAGCCACTGTGTTCAGGCATTCTATGCTTCTTTGATGCTCATAACAGCCCATTTTACCGATGACAAAACTGAGGCACAGACTCCAGATGGCTGAACCAATGTCACAAGTTCATAAGCGCTAGGGACAGGATTTGAACCCAGGCTGTCTGGCACTGGCCTCCAGGCTCTTAGCTATGTGTGAAAGGGCTGCACACTAGATGCTTGAGATATTTTTGGGTTCGAATCTATGATGCATCACCTAAGATGACAGTTTTTTGTGACCTTTAATTGTTTGACATAATGAAGGAGAGGTTGCTGCCTTAAGTGAAAACCTACTCAGACGACTTGACGTTGGCCCATTGGCAAAGAAAGTAGCTCTACGAAGTGATGACACCGTGGGTGTGCAGCCTGGGCCTTCACAGGTGCTGCTGGCAGCTGGCAGCTCAGAGCCATGGACAGCTGCTTGTGGGTGACCTATTATTCAACACATCCCAGGTGCTTCGAGGGTGGCTGGGTTGGGGACATCATCCCCTGCTGGTGGCAGGTGTCCCTGCCTTTCAAGACCAAGGCCAGTGGCCTGGCCCGGAGTCTAGAAGCATCTCCGAAGTGTGTGAAGCATTGACCAACCGCTGCCGTGTGCAGAGCTGGGCAGGCCCTTCGTGGGCAGAGAGGGTCTACCTGCCACGTCCTCCCTCCTGCGCACACCGGGGTGTAGGCTTTTAACATCCTGATGGATTTCTCCCTCTCTTTCACTTAGAAAACCCGATTCCCATCACCCAGAAGGAACATGGGATTAATGGCAAGCTTCAAGCGCCTGTGGTTCTTTGGTAATTGCTTTAAAAACACACATCCTTTCATAACAGCCCATTTTACCGATGACAAAACTGAGGCACAGACTCCAGATGGCTGAACCAATGTCACAAGTTCATAAGCGCTAGGGACAGGATTTGAACCCAGGCTGTCTGGCACTGGCCTCCAGGCTCTTAGCTATGCGTGAAAGGGCTGCACACTAGATGCTTGAGATATTTTTGGGTTCGAATCTATGATGCATCACCTAAGATGACAGTTTTTTGTGACCTTTGTTTTACATAACGAAGGAGAGGTTGCCGCCATAAGTGAAAACCTACTCAGATGACTTGAAGTTGGCCCATTGGCAAAGAAAGTAGCTCTAAGAAGTGATGACACCGTGGGTGTGCAGCCTGGGCCTTCACAGGTGCTGCTGGCAGCTGGCAGCTCAGAGCCATGGACAGCTGCTTGTGGGTGACCTATTATTCAACACATCCCAGGTGCTTCGAGGGTGGCTGGGTTGGGGACATCATCCCCTGCTGGTGGCAGGTGTCCCTGCCTTTCAAGACCAAGGCCAGTGGCCTGGCCAGGAGTCTAGAAGCATCTCCGAAGTGTGTGAAGCATTGACCAACCGCTGCCGTGTGCAGAGCTGGGCAGGCCCTTCGTGGGCAGAGAGGGTCTACCTGCCACGTCCTCCCTCCTGCGCACACCGGGGTGTAGGCTTTTAACATCCTGATGGATTTCTCCCTCTCTTTCACTTAGAAAACCCGATTCCCATCACCCAGAAGGAACATGGGATTAATGGCAAGCTTCAAGCGCCTGTGGTTCTTTGGTAATTGCTTTAAAAACACACATCCTTATAGCCACCTTTAGAATGTAGTTGATTTCAGGCAGTTTGGAAAGAATTTCTGGTGAGTTGAGGCAAAATGGTGATTATCTGCAAGTGTCATGCCTGTGTCCTCACATCAGATCGCTGTTTTCCATCGCCCCTGCAGGAATGCTGAAATGCCATGTAGCTGTATCTTTCTACCCTGAAAAAACACAGTGAACTCCCGGCTAGGATTCCTACAAACACAGGAGTGCAGAGGTTGGGAAGTGATTTTACTAAGCCAGCTGTCAGAGATGTGTGTCGGGGAGGCAAGACCATTGCTCCGGAGTAGAGTTCTGGGGACCTTGATAACCTGCAGGTGCTGATTCTTGGGTCTGGGTGGGGCCTGAGCTCGCACCTCTAACACACTCCCAGGAGCTGCTGATGCTTCAGGTCCAAGTACAAGGAGTTAGAGGATTGCTCAAACCACTCATGGGAGAAGAACAAGAGAAGCCCACAGAGGAAACACTGGCCACGAACTCATATCTACAGTAACACTAACAGGTGCCCCGGGCACGGCGTCCCATTTGCAGGGAGGGGAGAGTGAGAAGTCAGACTGGAATCATTGGCCCACACGGGGCAACTTTCCTTCGTCATCCACCAACCTAGCCCCGGTTTAGAAGGCGGCCCGTGATGCTTGTGTGATGGTGCATGGTGTGGTTAGTGTGTGGGACTGGACATCCCCTAAGGGGGCCTGTGGGGCGGAACTGGAGTTGCAGATATTTTCCTACTCGGGTCTCACAAAACTAAGGAGAAAGGCATGCCCGTTGCACCCGCTTCGTGCGCCGTCCACGTGAAGCCATGCTGCTGCTTTGGCATCATGTATCTCTGTGACTTTGTTTAAAGGTCACCTGAGTAGGCAGGTGCTAAATTTCCTCATTTGATACGAGCCTGTGCCGCGCCACAGACGCTGAACCCACCCCGCCCAAAGCCCATTTCAGATTTCCATAGCAAATCCACTGCTCGGGCTGAGTAAGTGAAAGCTAGAACCTGCAGCTGATAGTCTTTTCTAAAAAGATTCTGATTGCTTTACTATGTTTAAGAGCAGAGATGCCAGACCCCACGTGCATGCCTGAACCCCCTGGGAGGTCATCTTTGAAGTGAGCCTGGCCTGTGCGTAGAAAAGAGCATCATCATAGCCGATGGCCAGTAGACGGCTGTTTAATCCTGTTTTCTTAATTAAATGGAAACCAAATTATTTAGACGCTGTTCTCTGGAGGTCAAGTTTCTCTCGCTCACTGGTAGCTGGGATCATGATGCCTGTTTGTGCGGAGCGGGGATGGAAATTCTGATCGAGTTATTATTTCTCCCCTATGAGCTGGTGCAGGCATTGGCTGGCATGGTGCCCTCTCCTTGGTGGGGCTGATTCTGTCCTGCAAGTGTAGTTTGTCTGTTCTCCCCTTTAATCTGTTCTCCTTCGCTGCCTTGCAACCCCCACCTCTGCGCTGGCCCCTAGACAGTCAGAAAGTGGGCGATGGGCTGTGGCAACTGACCTACAAACAGTGTCTAGACACAGATGCATGAAAAGTACTTTCTCCTGAGAGTCTTCTTTTTTAAAAAAAGATTTATTTTACCTACAGTTAAAAAAAAAAGGCAAGCCAGCTTTAGGGAGAAGAAGAGCAAACGAACTTGTGTGTTCTAAAGTACGTAAACCCTGCTGTCTGCTGCAAGTGTTGAGGACTTACCTCTGTTTCGGGAGCTCACGTAGCGGGTCTCTACTGGTTGGCAGCTGGGCGCTGCCATCTAAGTTTGGGACCATCTTTGACTCCGGGTCAAATTGAGAGCCTAGATTCTTGCAAACAGGAGGGACCATGGTGTCCTTCCATCCAGTAGACATTTAGTGGAGGCAGACACTGGTGTTGTTTGGAGCTGTGAAGATCAAGCAGACACCCCCACCCCCGCCATGGTATCTACCTGATAGGACCAGAGAGAGGGAAGCATCACACCCAGGTCACAGTGGGCAGAGAACCCCCGTGGGGAGGAGAAACTTCCCATGAGAACATCACAAGATCCAAGTCTGCTATACTGTTTGGGTTTCGTCTTGTTCAAAGGAGGGACATATAGGTGGGTGGGCGTGAGCAGATGGTGCTCCTGGGTGTCCTGTGCAGAGAATGAGAGGGTCCCCTAATACAGCCTGGTAGAGGGAAGGAGTGGCGACAGGCGGGCACGACAGAGTCCACTCTACAAGACACGCAGTGGCCTCCAGAGAGCAGAAGTGGGAATAATGTGCTATGCAAACACTCTGCCCCCTTGCAGTGTTTGCTAGCTTCTGGACTAGGCAACTCTGAATTATAATGTTCTTTTGCCACTGACTTGCTCTGTGACCTTGAGCAATGATCTCGCTCCCTTCCCCGTCTGATCCTCAGCTCATCTAGCTGTAAAAATGAGGGTCTTAACTTGACTTACTGTATAGGGCTCTCAGATGACCAGCAAATAACCCCGATTTGACAGTTCTTGGTTGGTTAAGAAGTGCACTGGCCCCGGTATCCCCGTGGCTCCCCCAGGCCAGGGACAGGATACTCATGTCTCTCTTGTCCTTTCTGTGTTCCAGGAATAGAGCTGTGTCCCCCTGGAAAACGGTTCATGATCACCATGGTGGCGAGCTTCGTGGCCATGGCGGGGCAGCTCCTCATGCCTGGGCTGGCGGCGTTGTGCCGGGACTGGCAGGTGCTGCAGGCGCTCATCATCTGCCCCTTCCTGCTCATGCTGCTGTACTGGTCGTGAGTATCCCCGCAGGCTGCCCATGCAGCTGCCCGCACGCGGAAGGCCGCGCCCACCCCGGGAGACACAGAGGAAACAGGGCTGGGACCCGCTATCCCCAAACTCCCCCTTGTGTCAGCTTGTGTGTTGTGAGGGAATGTTGCTCTCTCTTTTTTATTTTATTTTATTTATTTTTTAAATGTCTTGTCTTGGGAAATGTTCAGACCCACACAAAGTGCATAGAATATTGGAATGAGCCCTGGGTGCCCTTTGCCAGCTCTGACCACGTGGTCTTCTCAGTCTGGTGTCACACCTATTCGCTGGGTTATTCCGATGTGATTTTCATGAATGGATTTGCGAAGGGGGGATCCTTGGGTTGGGAGGAGCAATAGGGAGATGTTCAAGGAAATTCAGCAAAGCCACCTGGTCTCCTCTGGACTACAGAGGGGCAATGCCAGGCCCTTGGTCGCCACCCAGCAGCTGCAACCCAGGCTTGTGTGGCCCACAGAGCTGAGAACAGCTGCTGTGTGGTCCTGTGGGGGGAAAGTCTGCTCTGACAAGTTCAGGAGGAATTTTAGGGCCACGTGTACCTTTTCAGTTTCTAAGGTTTAAGTTTTGGGCTTGCTGACTTTAGGAAAAAAGAAACTGCTAAGCACACTGGTTTTAAGCTATGACCTGGGCAACTAGATTTTTGAAACTCCCAGGGGATTAACGTGTAGCTGAGATTGGAAATCACCACTCTTAGACAGTTGTTAGGGAAAAAAGGAGTGTCCTGACCTTTTTATAAATAACCCTTCTCTTTCTTTGCCTTCCGTCCACCCCCACCCCCCATGCCAACACTCTTGCTTCCCCACAAGTACAGGGTACTGTCACGTAGATTATAATACTGCGCTATTTCTATTCCTTCGTCACCAATGGCAACCAGATGTCTGGCAAAAAGTCAGTTGTGTCTCAGCTTTGTTCACAGAGCGGAGAGGGCACTACTGGGGCTTCCTTTTCTTCAAAGGTGCCAGGGAGGAGAAGAAAGCCCCTGCCTTTTAACTTTGCCAGGGCCACCACCCAGGTTGTCACCCCCAGCAGATAAAAATCAGTGAGCGAGGCGCCTTTTCCTCTAGAGCCCTGCCCTTGCTCACTTTGTCATAAGAGCCTCAGCAGCAGCGAGCAGCCTAAAGGCCATCTGCTGGCGAGGGCCCCATCGCGCAGCGGCCACACTGCCCTCCTCTCACCAGCGCCTCTGCCAGGCTTCTAGACCTGAGGTCTCCTGCAGGAACCACACAGGTTTCAGATCCTGCTCCCTCCAGCAGGATGGCCCTGGCCAGTGTGGCTCAGTTGGTTGGGGTGTCTTCCCGTGCACCAAAGTGTTGCCAGTTTGATTGCTGGACCCCCAGTAGGGGATGTGCAGGAGGCAGCCAATCGATGTTTCTCTCTCCCTCTCCCTTCCTCTCTCTCTAAAAATCAATGAAAACATTTAAAAAATAAGGGGCAAAGAATGAAATGGTTTCCCCAGAGCTGGAAGCAGTGGGCAGCTCTTCCCTTAATCAGTCAGAGGAAGCCCTTCCTGTTCCTCCCTGCGCCCGGAGCCGGGCTGGGCTTGTTTTGGACTTTGGGGCATTTATTTATTTAACAAATGTTTATATAGTGTCTGCTCTATGCCAGACGCACATGCTAGCACTACACAAAGAGTAGACCATTCAGTCTTCCTATCGACCACCCCACTGAGAAGATGACAAAACTGAGGCTCCCAGTTGGCCCTGAAACCCAGCACTTGTGCTGTCTCTCTCCCACCTTCCCTCAGCTGCCATCCACTTGTCTTGGGAGAGGAGCCCCATTGCCCTAGAGCATCTTCCGTGTGGTCTGGCATCCTCCGCCTCCCTCCTCTCACTTCCTGGCCTCCACAGCACCCAAGGGCAGAAGTGCTGTCTGCTGGCCCCTGGGGGTTGTTGGGCCAGGGTAGGCACAGCCTTTTGGAGACCCACACTCCTGTGAGGGCAGACAGGGTGTCTCCATTACCTCCAGGCTCTGAGTCTCAGCCCTGGTTCTGCTCCCACCTGTCCCAGGTAGGAGGGCACCTTATGGAGAAATGGCAGGGAAGGGTTTCCTGGAACGGGTCTGGGATCCTGGCCCACATGGGAAAGGGCTGCAGGGTGGGGAGGTGGGAGGGGGATAAGGATATTTGTCTTATTCTTGTTCATTTAAAGTTAAAATGCATCAAGGTTAATGATAGGCAAGGTAAGGCATTCATTTACTTATGTACATTATCAAACCTAAGGAAAATTCTTTGAAACAAAACTCTACAGTGGAAAGGGTATCCAGGGAGGGTACTCTGACAAGTAAAATGTGTGTGTGGACAGACAGATGGACAGATGTCCCGATGCACTGGCACCGTGTAGTTACTGCTCTGGCACCGCTGTCTGGATCAACCTGCTCTGCTCACACATGTTAACTGCTGTGATCGTAATCGGCATTATTTTTTATTTATATTATTATTTAAGGTGCTTGGCACATGTCTGGCCTACAGCAGGTGCTCACTAATATTAGCTACTGTTGTTACAATGATTATATCACCTCTTAGCATGTGTGGCAGCCTGGGAGTACCGGGCAGGTAAAAGACACCAGGCATGAGAGACGTATTCCATTTCACCTAGCAGTTCGAAAGCCTCCGTAACAGTCATTGGCTTTTAAAGGCCACTGCACTGCCTCTCCTTTTTTGTCATTTCTGATTCCCTCCCGCCTCCCATCTGCTGCAGCGGGAAGCTGTGGCTCCCCAGGCTCTGGTCTGACAGGATGAAGTGGGCTGTTGGGGGAGGTGGTGAGCTGCAGCACCAGTCCCAGGACCAGCTATTGGTGACAAAATATTGAAAGTCACTTGCTTTCCTTTAATGAGCAGGTATTTATTTTGTGCGCCCAGGGGGCCAGCAGTGCACTTGGTGCTTTGCAGTGACTCTAAGAGCTGTGCATGAACAAGGGTCATAAACCAAACTGTATGACACAAGTTGCCACAACCAGGGTCCTGGGTAACAACAAAGAGGTGGACGGGGGTTGGAGGGATCTCCTGGTTCCAATTGTGGGCTAAGCTGACAGGGACCCTCCAAACACACACAGATGCCGAATAAGATACACATTAGCCAAAGTGTTACACAGCGCTGAGCTCCGTGCAAGCCCCGGGAGTTCCCTGGGCCCAGACCAAGCAGAGCATTCGAGCAGGACTGGCCAGGCAGCTGCAGGGCATCTGAACCGGAAAAAGGAGCTTTGGCTTCAGCACCTGCAAAGGGGGCTGGAGCTGAGATCTCAGGCCCGTATCTCTTAGAATCGGGCCCTTAAATGAAACCAGGGGTCAGAACTGTTGGTGAAAATAGAGCTGAGGGTGGAAGAGTTCATCCCACCAAGAGACCTAACTCCGAAGCTGGCTGACGGCCTGGGGCTGAGGGTGGAAGAGTTCATCCAAGTAGAAACTGGAGCCTCGATGTCTGCACCACACATGCTGTGTGTTCTAAATTCCAAGGCTCCGACGTTAACGTAAGAACCAGTGAGTTCTTCAGAACCTCAAGGCCAAATGGAAACCCCCCCGGGGAGAACCACTGGGGCCAGGCACTCAAGATTCACTCCAAAGAAATGTTCACCAAGGATAAGCTCACAGGCAAAATTCACAGAGCTCATCACAAGGGCCAAAAACTATAAATTGGGGAGCTTGCATGCCAGGAACTCCAGAAAATAGAGCAATCTGAGAGATAAGTTAATTAGCTAACTTATTAAGTAGTTACCACAACCCCACACCAATTGCTGTTCTAGATACTAAGTATTCTAGATACTTCACATGCATACGAGCGGGTCCCCGCTCACGTGAAAACTCCCTAACAGTGGGGCGTGTGGGGTGGGAGGGAGCCCACTGACCATGAAGCCATCAACAAGCGAAGGACATGGATTCACTAACCAGCACATGAGGAAGGTGAGACGCTGCCGTGGGACAGAAAGGGACAGCAGGGTGATCAGAAGGGCCGCTTTGAAGAGGCGACATTCCTTTCTGAGACATAAATGATCAGAAGGAGGAAGTCACACACAGTTCTGCGCGGAAATGTGTTCCCAGCACACGGGAGCAGCCAGGGCAACAGCTGGCTCCCACTGTTTTTTCTGGAAGAGGAAGCAAGGCCAGTGTGTCTGGAACATGAGGGAAAAGGGGCGGGGGGCCAAGCTCAGACGCAGGTGGGTCAGACCACCTGGGGCCTGAAGCCCAGCGATTTCTTCTAAAAGCAGGAAGACCCGTTGGAGGTTTATGCAGGTCAGGGATATGCTCTGGCGCATGCTCTGGGGTCGCTGTCTGCAGTGTGGCGAGTGGTTGTGGGCGGGTGAGAGGGGCAGAGGGCTGCCACACTGGCAGGCCCGTGAGAGGTGGTGTGGTGCCTGCACTGGGGTGGGTGGGAGGTCACTGGAAGGGGTCTGACCCCAGGTACACTCCGTAAGTGGCTTCGTGGAGGCTTGCCAGTGGTCTGCGTTGGCGGGTGGGATAAGGAACAGCAGTAACTCGGGTTTGGACGGTTTGCTGAGATGGGGCCGGAGCTCCCTGAAACGTGGAGGCCCATCTAGGAAATGGAGCGTGAAGTCCTGTCCTGAGAGCAGTTGGAAGGGTGACAGAAATGAGATCACTGGCTGAGGGGGAGCTTTGAAAAGGCGGGTTTTGATCTTGGGGACAATAGGGAACCACTGTAAGGAGTGCAGAGACTTGATTGAAACCACAGCCTGCATTAAATTACAGGGTTTATTAGCATCCAGATCTGGTGAGGCCAACAGAGCTGGAGGAGAAGTCACTGAGTAGTTACTCGGTTCCCAAGAGTTGGGGCGCTCCACATCATGGGGGCCACACAGGAGGCACCTGGTCAGTCAGGAGGCTGAGGGAAGGAGTGGGCAGGAGCCTTCACTGTGGTTTCCTCAGGGAGGAACCGGTGAGCCAGGTGAGCAGGCTTCGTGTTGGCTGGTTTGAATAGCTTCAGGGGGCCGTGGGGCACCCGGACGCTCCGCTGGTTGT